AGCGAGTGGTTTTGTAAATATCACTTGGCCTTCATCAGCCAGTTGTGCAGCTTGGAAAAGTGTATATATTGCAAAAACTATAAAAATAAGAAAGTGTGGCAGTGTCTCACCATTTTAGTATCTTATTTATTCTTTAGTAACTGAGAGAGGTTTAAAAGTCATTAGTGGTAGTCTCTGAATTTTTCTGTAGTCAAAATTTAGGTAATGGCTTTGACCTTATGTTTATCCAGCTTTTTGTTCCACAAAACCTTACAACCAGACTTATTCTTGACATTGTGAAGTGTCTCTTTTGCCACCTAAGTCTGTGACTTCTCATCGAAGAGGTACTTGATTTTTCTTGATGACCTTTTTAAACCTTTCTCTTGCATTTTAAGCTCACAAGTAAGGAAGGAATCTATTAAATTTACCTTGTAAAATTGATTATGGAGATTCATCATTCCTGATTGTGCTCCCATCATATGTTATCATATGTGTATAATTTTAAATGTGTCACTTAAATTTTCGGTCATGTAACAAGCATAAAAAAGGTCACACAGTCTGTCAGTTCCCTGGGATTTTTGTGGATAAGCACTGCAAATTACAAATGTGACAGTTTCTTCTGCCTGCTCTCTTAAAGTAGTTTTCTGTCTTTCTGAATAAGATTTCTTTCCAAATTCCATGAATTTATTTAACCTCTCCAGAGTCTCTGGGCCTGCAGTGGTAGAGGACCTGGGCTGGAGTCTTGGGTCAGATGTGAGTGTCTGGATGTGCTTGTCTGGCTCTGTCAGTGTCTTCTGGGGGAGACAGTAAATGGAGAAGCATGTTGCTGGAGAGACCTTTTTGGAGGCTGTGAAATCACAGGGAGTTGGGTCTTTGCTTGAGCAAAACTAGGCTTTTTGGAACATTAATGAGTATTATTGCTGAGACGGGTGGCTGTTATTGAAGCACAGCATCAGTTTGGATGGGAATGTTGCCATTAGAAAGCAAAACCAGAAACCCAGAGACCCAAAGGTTCTGCATGTCCCGTGATTATGCTTGACCTCTGCCATCAGAATGTGTTGTGAATGGCACTCCGAGGTGTGTGTCTCATTCCCAAACTGCCAGGGAGTATGAATGTGGATATTGTGCAGATGTCAGTGTCATGCACAAGGCTTCAGTCAAGTTGTGTGGGAGGTGTATGTTCCAGAGCTCCTTGTAAAGGCTGGAAAAATGCTAGTGGGGATAGACAGCGCCATGCAATACTTGATCTTTGGCACCTACAGTCCTCAGCGGAGCTCATTTCAGTGATTTCTTTGTCTTTAGGGCTGTTTTTTAAGTATTCTTTGAGCAACATTGTGTTTCTTCTTTCCCCTAAACCTTCCCCTAAAACTGGCAAGAACAGCCTTTGCTGCTGGGTGGTAATTGTGGTTTAATGGTAGCTTACAGGCTGAAACACAGCTGAGATGTGACTTGAAGGAGAAAACAAAAATGGGCAAAACAATTATCAGCCTGCAGAAACACCCAGCTCCTTCAGGAGGATGCTAAGCTTGGTAAAAGATGAGGAATCCTTGGACACTGCTGCAGGGATGGAGTGAAAGGGTGTGTGCCTGCCCTCTCCAGGGCCAGAGGGTTGGGACTGCAGCCTCAGAGAGTCACAGTCATACTCAAGAGACCACATGGTTCCCAGGTGCAGTCAAATGGCTCTGAGCAGATAGGTTGTGGTTTTGGCACTGAAGACACATTTTCTGCGGGTGTCTTGAACAGTCTGTGATTTTAATCTCTAGAGCAAGTGTTTCACCATGTCTTTGATATGGGTGTTGCAAGTCCATTTCTGGCGACAGTTTTGTTTGCCCCTTGCACATTTTAAAAGTGAAAGTGTCACTCAGGTTTTCAGTCTTAGGGTGCAGCAGAATAGCTGAGCAGAGATAAAAGATGCCTGAAAACCCATGCCCTTCAGGGAGAGTCTCCAGCAGAGGTATGGACTTCTTAGTATGTCCTAATTTAGGGGCTCTGGCAGGAAGATGAAAGCAATCCTCAACATCCCTAATACTTTATGTTTTGTGTCTCCAGAGCTGCACATATTTTGAGAGCACATACTTAAACCTTGTGTCTTAAAAAAACTCCTAACAAAAATAGAGGTCTTTGTAGCTGTGTCCTGGGCTGCATCAAAAGCAGTGTGGCCAGCAGATCAAGGGAGGTGATTCTGCCCCCCAGCTCTCTTGAGATCCCACCTGGAGAGCTGTGTCCAGCTCTGGAGACCCCAACATAAGCAGGACATGGGGCTTCTGGAGAGGGTCCAGAGGAGGTCATGAAAATGATTCAAGGGCTGAAGCAGCTCTGCTCTGGAGACAGGCTGGGCGAGTTGGGGTGTTCAGCCTGGAGAAGAGAAGGCTCCAGGGAGACCTTAGAGCACCTTCCAGTGCCTGAAGGGGCTCCAGGAAAGCTGGGGAGTGGCTTTTGACAAGGGCCTGTAGGGAGAGGACAAGGGGGAATGGATCAAAACTGAAGAGGAGAGATTTAGGTTAAACATTAGGAAGAACTTCCTTGGCATCAGGGTGGTAAGAGCCTGGCCCAGGTTGCCTAAGGAAGCTGTGGCTGCCCCTTGCCTGGAAGTGTTGAAGGGCAGGTTGGATGGGGCTTGGAGCAACCTGGGCTGGTGGGAGGTGCCCCTGCCCATGCAGAGGGGTTGGATCTAGGTGATCTTTAAGGTCCCTTCCAACCCAAAAGAATCACAGTATTCTGTAGTTCAGTGCAGACTTCTACAGTACTTGTTAAGTGTCCTGGTTTTGCTTTACTTGATATTTTGTGCCACAAAGAAGAAAGTGACTGCCACTAAGCCTCTGGACCTATGGAAACCAGCAGTCAGTCACTGAACACTGCCCTTCAGGGTCACAGTAAATCATCCTGACAATTCCACTATAAATACTCGTATGTAAACCTGTATCAATTTCAAAGCCTCTTTGGCTTATCTGCAAGAACTTCAGGAAGGGGTGTGATTTGTTTGGCAAGGATAAGAGAGGTCCACAGTGGCTGTTGCAGATATTATCTGATTCTCAGGTTAATTCAATTCCACTTTTGTCATCAGTTACCACCTCATAAAACTCAAGTTTCTGGAGTGGGAGAAGCAAACTGATTTTCTTTTGTTGCAATTGATCCATTAGAGAGAGAGAGTTTTTCAGTACTTTGTCTAGGCAGGGTCTTGGTTCTTTATCTGTTTCATGGGAAGGGTTTTTTACTGTGGTGCTTTTGTGGGATATCTCAGGAGCTTTCTGAAGCAATCTGTTAGTTGAATGTTGCTTTTCTGTACAGCAAGAAGCAAGTTTCCATATTTGCTGTTTGTGATCTTTTAAATTAAGAAGTAAAGTAGGTGGTTGAACTACCAGTTTAAACTTTTTGGGAAAAAAAAAGAGTGAATAATTTTTGGCACTGGGAGTTATGAAGCATCCTGATCTCTTGCCATGTGCTAGAAGTTCCCTCTCCTCCTGCCTGGTGTGCCATGCCTCTGCAAGCCTTGCTCAATCCATTACTTTCATCCCTGTGACTCATGTGGCCATGGCTCAGCTTCTGCTTGTCTTGGGGTGAGTAAGGTCAAAAGCAGGTATCTGTGCATGATTTTCTGAAGAGAAGGCAAATCTTTGTCAAATGAGCACTGCCTCCATGAGGACTTTACGTAGACACAGACAAATGAAGTTGCAGGGAAAAGAGGTTCCTCATCTCCTCTTTTCCTTCCCATGTAAATAAATAGTGCAGCATATAGCAAACCAATGAGTGACCTTTCTCTGACAGTGCTAAGGATGCAGGTTTTTTACTTCATCAAAGTATTTGCTTGTTTTGCTGTTTCCTTTGTCCTGGGGAAGATCTTTCTGATTGGGCACTGTAGCTCACTGCCCTCTTCTTTTAACATGAGAAATGTCTTCCTGGCATTTATACCAGTTGCTAAACATTTCTATTGAATGTCATGTCCAGAGGCAAGAAGCTGGTCTTGGATGCTCTTTGCTCAGTGTAACTATTCACCTCTTGTAGATGAGATGCCAATCTGTTGGAGGCCAGGAGCCACTAAGGGGTTTTGTTGATACACTGAAAGCCCATTTATGTGTTTGCACAAGCTGGAGTGTCTGCTGGTTGTTGTATAACTGGTGAATATTAGTGTTGCTTTTGCCTTTTACTCTTCCCCAGAGCTTCCTAGTGCCTGGGGTCGTGAGCCTGGTTGAAGGCAGCTGCAGATGCTGCCGTGGGTGTTTTCTGGTTCCCTTCAGGAGGCATTTGTGGAGAGCCAGGGCACCAGCAGGGAGCTGGCTGCCCTTCAAAGGTCCTCATCGTGCTTTCATTGGGGAGTCCCTGAGCCTGCCGGGCAGGCATGTGGTGGTCACTGCCTGGGCTGCAGCAAAATGGGCAGGGGACATACAGGCGCAGTTCCTGGATCCAGATACAGGTCCTCTGCAGGCTTTTCCAGAAATCACTGTGTCACTCCTACCTGGTGGCACGTTCAAGATTTTGTTCTGAACGGCAGAAGTTACAGTTGTGTTGCTTTCCTGTTTTTTAATGGCAGTTGATGTTCCCTTGAGTCCAAGAGTTGGCATTCTGGGACCCCAGTTATTATTCCTCCATTATTCCTCCAGTTAAAACCACCTCTATTTGGTCTTCTCCAAGCTTAGGGCTTTATACTGGCTTCTTTTTCAGCTGAGTGCACAGGGGTGCATAGAAGAACACGTCACAGAACAAGGGAAATCTTGTCAGCTGAACAGGCACCATTGTTCAATAAGCTCTGTTTCTCTTTATGTGATTTTCTCAAGAGATGCTGTTTGGAGACACTCTCTGTCTTAGAATGTATCTTCTGCTAAAGACTTGAAAACAACAGGCTTTGTAGAAGTGCATTATTAACTGCCTTGTCTGAGGGGGCTTTCAGTTCTTTTTTATTATTAATGAACTCCCATTAAATTTATAGAACTGTGAGTAAAAAAGTGTTTTGTAAGTACATCTGTTTGTCACATGTCAGGTGGTAAAAACAAAAACTCATGCTGCTTCCCTCTTTTTTGTTGTAGCAAACCTTCCCCAGTGATGTCCACTCCATTGAAGAAATTTTGAAGGTAGGTGCTCTTAAAGAATAGATCTCTGTGTTTGCTTGTATTTTGCATGCCTTAAAATAGTGTGTGAGCAAATAAAATACTGCTCTGCAACATCCACTGGCAGAACACAAGCAATCACCGAACGTGTGTTTTGGGGTGCACTGTGGAGAAGTAAAGGTAAAAGTTAGCTTTGGTTACAGCTGGAGGTGTAAGACCCATCTTTCTATCACCATGTGAGTGAAATACAGTCTTGTGCAAGACTAAGGAGTCACCCGGAACACCCAGAGCTCCTCCTTTGTCAAGTCAGGGACTTGCCATGTCTGAGCGCATTTCCTCCAGAGGTGCTGGACCTGCTGCCCGTGCAGCCAGCCCCAGCAGCAGGGTCCTGAATGGCAGCATGCACCTGCATCCTTCCAGCCTGCCTGTGAATGGCACTGCTGCTGGGCTGCTTCTCCTTCACTGGCATTCCAGTCCATTCATCCAAAGCTCAGCTAACTCGGATGCAAAACCATCCCTGGTAACCTTGTGTCAGAGCTGGCTCTGTCAACAGGGCACAGGCTCTGAGGTAGCTGGCTCTGAGGGTGTGTCAGCCATTCACTGGTGTGCATGGTGTGAAAATGCACTGTGATCTGCAGGCCCAGCCTGCTGATTCTGAGAAGGCAGTCCCTGGATTTCAAATATTATTCTGAGACACCCAGGTCCTAACAGAGGTGTTTGCATTCTGTGATTCACTTCCCTCACTGTTGCTTCAAAATCCTCATGCCTTTATTGCTCTGAAGAAGCTGTTGGGGCAGCATTTTAGCTGAAAGGTAGTTGTGCTGAGCGCTGGTTGGTGTTGCAGCATGAGTACTCCACCTGGAAGTGCTGCCTCCCTTTGTTTCACATGACATACCCAGTTTTCTTTCCTGTTAGTGAGGCATAAGGCTGTTTTTGTAGCAGCCACAGGGAAGCTTGTGCAGGTCTAGTGCAGGACATCAGGTTATCCTGTACTGGAAGATTGCATGGGAATGAAGTGAGCAGTGAACTGCACCGTGGGAGGTGAGAAGGGAGCAGGCAGGAGTGGTAACAATGAAATCAAATGGTTACCCAGGTTAGTTAGAGGCTGCTTCTAGCTCCTGCACAGAATGCTCTGTAGATTGCTCTGATCCCTGCTTACAGAGCAGGAGGTGGCAATGTTGTTTTGTTCCCCACTAAATTTCTGCATTTCATGTTGTTCCTAATAGATAAGGAAACTAGGGACACTTCGAAACTTTCATGTTTGTGACTTGATGAAAAAATGGCACTTATAAAGTATGACACAGTAGAGATTTTCACACGTCAGTTTATTTGGTGCCCAAAGTACAACAATGTACTTTGTCCTGACGTGCTCCTCATCAGCTTCTTTTTAAGCCCCTGAGCAATCTGTGTGAGGTACCTGATTGCTATCAGATACATTCAGCATCATAATTCTTAAATTTCTGAGCTGGACAAAGTGCTACTGTTGTGTTACTCTTCATGCTGCTTTTCTTCAGGAAGTTGGCAGGGAATGGTTGCAATGACAGCCACTCTGGATGGGAATGTTGAGTTATGTTGGGCTGAGGGGGAAACCCTGAGATAGTTATTCCTGGAAAGGCAGTGAAGATGGCAGGCCATATGAATTCACTTCTGGCAGTGACTGTGGTGCTCATCAGGATTTGACACTTGGGGATTAGGTGCCAAGAAGAATTTTTCTTGTGTGATTTCAGCAAGATCTTTCTGAATTTCTGACCCCAACTTCCCCAAAGGCCTCATCTAGATTAACTCCCATTCGAGAAGGTATTTTAGTGTATGTTCAAGACAGAGACCCCTGTCTGTGCTAGGCTTTTCATGTGTGCTTGTTGCAGTGCAAGCCAAGGCTTTAGCATGCTCATCTGGGCCCAGCTGTGGTGCCAGAAGAGGCGGGTTGGAAGTTGTTATCACCTACTGAGCACTCCTCCCATGACCATGGTGTTCATGCTCTGCTTTCACCTGGACCACAGCTGAACCCAAGAAGCTGGTACCTGGTCATGACAGCAGGTGAGAGCAAGGGCAGGGGAACAGGGCAGAAGGATTGCTGAAGACACAGCACACAGGGCAGTGTCCTCCTTTGGTTTGAACCCACGTCCTGAAGCTCTGCCGCAAAGACGTCTTGGTGGGTCAGTGCAAAAGGCAGTGCTTCAGGCATGGGAAATGACTGGCAGTCAGAGCTCTCTGCCTGGTCTCCTTGAGTTATGAAAAGCCTTCAGAGTGTTGTTGCTGTGAAGGGATATCTGTAACAGGAAAGTGCTGTGCTTTGGAAAGCCCCGGAGCTCCTCATATACGGAATATTTTATTTGCTTTTCCCTTTACTAACTGTGATAGCTGTAAGTCAGAGGCCTACTCCTGCAAGCACAGTAAATACTGAACTCTCCACAAGCTTCCTGAGATTGCTGTTCCTTGGACAATGCAAGTATGTATGCAGAAAAGGAGCAAGTCCTCATCCTGGTCTGGCTACTGTGCTCCAAGGAGGGCTTCTCACTGCAGTACCATCTCTTGGCTTTACCATCGGGTCGGCAAGAACTTTTTTTGGTTAATCCATATGAATCCCTGAAGTGTTGAACTTCACTTGTGTGTATCAGCAAAAATCCTGTAAGCTGCTTCTCTCCATGTCTTTCCAGGAAATGACCCACTCCTGGCCACCTCCCCTGACAGCTATTCATACGCCTAGTACAGCAGAGCCTTCCAAATTTCCGTTCCCAACAAAGGTAAAACACCCTCTTTTTGCCAGGGCTTTTGATAAATGAGGAGAGCTTTCTGGTTCTTCCATGTGTTTTCATATGATTCTGTCCCCCTTTCGTAGATAAAGGCTGCTAGGAGAGATTACCTTTAGAAGAAGTCAGATGAATTAAAGCACAGTTGATCTCAAGTTGTACAACATCTGCTTGCAACATGTTGTTTTTACTGAGGAGTAGATCAGATAGTGCTTCTGAGCTGTTGTTTTTGAGTGGTCTATATCCTGCCTCTTTTTTATTACCTTGAAGCAAGCTTTGTATTTTTAGAGTTGTAAGATGTTTGAGCCAGAGGTGGGAGTGCTATAACTGTGGGCTTCAAATGTGACAGCTTTTCAGAAACATTTTAAGCAGCTCATGTCTGTTGCAGCATAAAAGCATTTTATCTTTATTGTCAACAACATTTTTGCTGACTTTGTTAAATGAAAGTGTTTGGCAGATCTTATACATATTTTTTTAATATTTCTTAAAAAATGCATATACCACTAATGTGCTGGCAACACGTTTTTGGAGCGGTTACCATTTCTGTCCATGCTAAGATACATCAGGCCAGCTTGGGCTGTTGGACACTTCAGAGTCATACTTTGACAAATCACCTAACATGTTTATTACAGCAAGACATAGAAAACAAATAACCAATATGATGCTGTTGAGAGAGCTGATTTATTCTCAATTTGCACTTTGTTCTTTCCTTCTAGGAATCCCAGTACGTTGGATCTGTAGCACAGAATCACAGTAAGTAGAAACCCAAAGAAGACACACTGTTAGTGTGTATTGAGAGATTGTTTTGTGTGTTCCAGATTGAGGAGAACATCAAATATTTACATTGATTAAGGAGCACCATTTCCTGTGCTTTGTTGAACAGTGATGAATTTAGAAAATGCTTAAGAGATTGAATGCATTCATTCTCTAGAAATTAAGGCAGCAGTTCAGCAGAGAACAAACAGTATTTCACTAGGAATCCCCATTTGGGGATCTCAATGGCAAATAATTATGTCCTGGGAGAAGGTGACTTTCTAATCTGATGCTTGGAGCCTGTAGGGTAAAATACACAATGAGTGAGGCAAATAAAACCAACTGATGTCATTTTTAATTTACAGAACAATATGATGCACCTTCAAAACCGTTGCCTAGTTCTCAGCCAAGAACATCGTAAGTAACCAGACTGGGTTCCTATCTCTACTGTGCAGTTACTTAAAAGAACCTGGAATGAATAAAAGTTTGGTTTACTTGCTGATTCTGAAAATCAAGGTTTTATCGGTCTGATTTTTCTCAGAAAATGTCAGTGCAGGGAATTTTCACCAACAGAAACAGGACTGTTTTGTGGTTATGATGACTGTGTTAAAAACAAAACTGAAGGAAAAAACCTCAACTATTTATGTACCAGATTGATTTTTTGCTCTTTTAATCTGTGGCTGCTTAGTGTGTTGTCACATTAAGTGCTATTCAAACTACTAATAATACGTTCAACTGACATAAATTATAAGGGAGGACCAACTGAATCTGGTCTATTCTGCATGTTGCTCTGAAGCCACAGCTATGAGAACTGTGAATACTCGGGGTGACATTTTAAAGCAATCATATGGTGTAGTTTTCTGAAATTGGCCAAAGAAAAGTGTTCTAAAAAGTGTGTTCTTCATATTATTTTTATTTAAAAAGTACCAAACTGGCAAAAAAACTTTCATGTAGGCATTAAAAAAAAATGGTTATATTCTAATAATGTTAGCTAGTTGCAAAGTGGGGTGAAGATTAAATTTCTGTAGCTTTTAAAAACAGTATTTATATATTTCTTCTTTTCTTTATCGATTTCTTCTTTTCCCTGTCATGTTATAGTTTTTCTCAGTAGAAAGCTTCTGAGAATTTAAGTCTCAATATAACTTGTTTATGCATAATCACTACAGAAGTTTTACAAGGCTAGGAAGAAATGCCAACTAGTAAATTAATTGCTCCAATAAAGAAATTTAGGTTGGTGGATATAATAACTTGGTACTGTCCTTGCAGGTGAAAGCAGTTATCTATTAATTAGGTTAATTACAGAAATTGCTTGAAAGTGGTTTTGTGATGGCTGGTGACAGTCTTTGAGGATTAACCTGACCAGATGGCAGCATTAATAGGCTCTGAGCCCTGAGTAATAAACTCCATGTCTGGAGGGCTGAGGGGTCTGTGTTGGCAATTGCCAAGCCATTAATTGCCTCTCAGTTAATGAGATATATAAAGATCTCATGTTACTCTATGATAAGTTGTTCCATGGAAGGCTGCAAACTACAGACTACAAAGCTTAATCCACTTGTTTTCCTTTTCTGTATCATGAACAATTTTATTTAAAAAAAGCAAAAAACCCCAAGCAAACAAACAAAACAAAACAAAAAACAAAACCAAAACACAACAAACCCCCCCCTCAAAAGTCACAAGTGAGAGGAAGAGCATCTCTCCACCTTGGTTGAGATTGTAGAATTTTGCACTAAGATCTGTAAAACTAACTTTTTCATACAGTTCAGTTCTGTGATTCCGAGGAAAAAAACTTGACTAGGAGTGTGACAGAGCACTGTAACAGGCCTCCCAGGGAGGTGGAGGAGTCCTCTTCTCTGAAGTAATTCCAAAATGACTAGTTTCAACTGCTCCAGGCTCTACCATCTTCTTCAGCTACCTTACAACCATCATCTTTATTTCAGCTCTTCTCAGCTGCTTGTAAAAATCCCTCTAGCACTTCAGTCAGTTTTCCAGGTGGCAGAGAGAGAGAGGAAACTTTTACTGCAGACAAGAATCTGAAAATACTCCTCTTTCTTAGCCCAAAGGTCCAGAATTGTCAGTGTGGCCTGGTACGTAGCTCTGTCCTTAGCCAGTGTCCCCTCTCTGCTCAGTGTTCTTGCAGGCACTTCCAGAACCAGTGCTCGTCTACCTGGGACATGTGTATCCACACTCCACAGAGGCAGTTGAAGCAGGAGGAGCAGGGTGGCTTAGCTTTATGTCCCAAATGGAGTCTTTCCCTTGAACTGATGCATCCCCTTCTTTCTTTTTGCTGTTTTTTTTTGTTTGCATTTGCAGAACAGGCCTTGCTTTCTTTGCTGTTTAAAGCACACGTGACTGTCTGAAAATTCAGCTGCCTGGAGGAGCTGGCCTTACAAAGTGTAGCTGGCTGAAAACAAACAGCATTTGTGCTGCTTAATTAGAGGTTGAAATCCTGGTGCATCTGTGTGCCCAAATGAAGCATTCAGCTTTACAGAGCGTGCAAGGGTTTCCCAGATGGCTTTCATTCTTGAATACAGCCCTGAAGTTAGCACCTGGCTGTGCTGGAATGGAAGGAGCCCTTCTTTTAGAAAGGGAGATGCCAAGGTCATTCTTGGTGATGCATCTTTAACCCAGCTGGCAGAGAGGGTCCAGCCTGTGCTTTCAGTGGGGTTGTTTGGCAAGTGATATTCATGTTAGTGCTGCTCCTCTCACTAAAGGAGCTTTTAAAATAGCTTTACAGGGAGATTGATGGTGTGTGTATATAAGCTGCAAATGAACAGGTCCTGCAAATGAAAACATGGCATCTATTAACTCCTGAGCCAATTAAAGCATTGAAATTATTAAAGCAGATCTATTTTGTTTAACTAGACTATTTAACAATTTGTTGAAACCTTGTTTTGGCAAAACTGGCTTTGTCTTCCTTGCAGAAGTATAACTCATTTAAAGTTGTGTTCTTACTGATCCTAATTAAGTAGTTGCAGGGTTGGTTTTTTTGTGCTGATGCCTTTTATTTACCAGCAACTCAGGTGAAAAAGGCAGTCCTTTTTATTACAGACAGTTAAATCATATTTGAAAGAAGATGTTGGTAGTGTTTCCTTGCATTATCCTCTTTCCTCTGAAGGAAATACATCCATAGTCCACAATTTTTAAAGCAAAACAAAAAAATAAAAATGCTTTCAGAACATTTTAGCATCCCTGGAAGGTTGTTCTTTATCATCTTTGAAGGACTGCTTTCCCTAGTAGGTTGGAAAAAAAAAAAAAAATCCCTTGAGATGCCTGTAGACTTTTGTTCAAACTGCTCAGGAGTATTGGGAGGGGCTGTATTGTTCCTGTTAATTCCTTTTTGTGTCTCAGTGCACTGGCAGTGAGCTTCAGCTCCAGCTCACAGGCAAAGCTGCAGCCTGCCTGCCTGCCTGCTGTTTTCCATGTAGGAAGTGCAGGGCTCTCATTTTCCAAGGTGGTGTTTGGTAGCACTTCCCTTCAGGGTTTGTTCTAAGGGAAGAGGCAAGAGGTGATTTCCACCGAGAAGGTGTGTGAGGAAATGGGGAGGGGCTTTTGACAAGGGCTTGTCGTGAGAGAACATGGGGTAATGGATCAAAATTGGAGGAGGGGAGATTTAGGTTAGACATGAGGAGGAAATTCTTGAGTGTGAGGGTGGCCCAGGTTGCCCAGGGAAGCTGTGGCTGCCCCATCCCTGGCAGTGTTGAAGGGCAGGTTGGATGGGGCTTGGAGCAGCCTGGTCTGGTGGGAGGTGTCCCTGTCCATGCAAGGGGTTGGAACTAGATGATCTTTAAGGTCTCTTCCAACCCAAACCATTTTGTGATTCTATGAAATGAAGCAGTGGAGGCTGAAAGATAGAGAAGAATAGTCACAGGGGAATGGCAAAGTCAAAATACCTAAACAAAGAAAGCACTAAGTCTTTGTGACTGTAGTCAGGCAGAGCCCTGGTGGCACTGAGACCTAATTCTGCATCAGTGAGAGGTGCTTGGGGTCTGTGGGATCAGTACCTTTGCAGGTCCTGTGTCAGCTGTATGGTTGGTTCTGTACTGGGAGACACAGTAGACCCTTGGGTTTTTGTCATGCTGTTCTGCTCTGTGAGCAGGAGCAGAGTCATCACGTCTGGCCAGAGGAATTATTTGTTAAGACCATGACCAGCTTTGGCAGTAAATGTGGTCCTAATTCAATCAAGGTGTCTCCATGCACATCAGCTGCCTTGTTATGAGTGTAAAATAATTTGTCTAGTTTGTGCAGATAGTGTTTAAATAAGGGGATAACTTTTTTATTCAAGGTTTTTACTCCTCTCTTGCCACAGAATCATAAAAGAAACTGCTTGGGGTCATTAGTGGTGACCTGCAGAGCCATTAATATTTTTTGTTCATGATTTAACATGAAGGCTTGAAAGAGTGCGAAGGTTTGTGTAATTTTTCCTAACAAGTGTCAGGAACACTTCAGTCACTCAGCACTTTTGCAAAGTGATGTGGTTTTCTGGGGATCTTTCATATTTGTTTTCTTGACATAAAATTGCCATGATGAGATGGAAGCTTATTTTTTTTATTTGGGCATAAGAAAAGTTTCTCACAGAGAGCTCTTACTTTGAAATTAGGTTGAAATAAACAGTTTTGACCTGGTGGATTAGAAGCCCTCTCTTAGTTTCCAAGCTTTTAATCTCATTTTTGGAATGACACTCCTGTAATTTTCTGGGTTGAAGAGTCAGTCTCCAGCTAGTTTCAAGATTTGACTCTATACTTTTGCATAGCAAGAGTTTTGCTTGCCTGTTTCCCAGCTCCTTTTGGGATGCCAAAGGGGGGGATAACAATTTGGGAGAACTCGGTCCCTCTTCACAAATCCTATCCTCCCATCCTTCTGAGGACCTTGGTAATGCATTGAAATTATGAGCAGTAGTTACCACCTGCAGGCAAAGGACTAAATTTGCTTTTGGAAACATCTGCAGGCAGCCTGTGCCCTACTCCAGAAATAGTTTCTGCCTCCCCACTTGTGAACTGCTGTATCTGAACTGCTTGATGGGTCAGTAGCTGCTGAGGTGTGTGAAGCTCCTGGTATAAAGAAATAGGAGATAAGCTTGACCTTGGCATTTACTTATGTGTGTGATAGGAGACTTCAGAAGCAAAAAGATAACCTCTGTGACAGGAGAAATATTCACAGCGCCTGATAGCAGCAAGCATGAACATGCTCAGCTCCTGGTGCAAAGGTGATGCTTTCTGCCCCTGGGGAGCCAGGGCAAGCTCAGAGCCTGCTTGTGTCTTGCTGTGCAAGGATCTGACCCCTTCCACCTGTTGTGCTAGTGTGGTGAGGCCACATATGGAGAACTGGGTCCAGTTCTGGGCTCCCCAGTTCAGGAGAGACAGGGAACTGCTGGAGAGAGTCCAGGGGAGGGCAAGAAATAACTGGGGGATTGAAGCATTTCCCTGATGAGGAAAGGCTGAGAGAGCTGGGACTGTTCAGCCTGGAGGAGAGAAGGCTGAGGGGAGACCTTATTAATGCCTGTAAGTGTCTAAAGGGTGGGTGCAAGGAGGATGGAGCCAGACTCTGCTCAGTAATTCCCAGGGACAGGATGAGGGGCAACGGGCACAAGCAGGAACATGGGAAGTGTCATTTAAATATGAGGAAAAACTTAATTACTGTGAGGGTGACAAAGCACTGGAGCAGGCTGCTCCAGGGGGGTTGTGGAGTCCCCTTATCTGGAGCCATTCCACGGGAGGTGTCCCTGTCCATGCAAGGGGTTGGAACTAGATGATCTTTAAGGTCTCTTCCAACCCAAACCATTTTGTGATTCTATGAAATGAAGCAGTGGAGGCTGAAAGATAGAGAAGAATAGTCACAGGGGAATGGCAAAGTCAAAATACCTAAACAAAGAAAGCACTAAGTCTTTGTGACTGTAGTCAGGCAGAGCCCTGGTGGCACTGAGACCTAATTCTGCATCAGTGAGAGGTGCTTGGGGTCTGTGGGATCAGTACCTTTGCAGGTCCTGTGTCAGCTGTATGGTTGGTTCTGTACTGGGAGACACAGTAGACCCTTGGGTTTTTGTCATGCTGTTCTGCTCTGTGAGCAGGAGCAGAGTCATCACGTCTGGCCAGAGGAATTATTTGTTAAGACCATGACCAGCTTTGGCAGTAAATGTGGTCCTAATTCAATCAAGGTGTCTCCATGCACATCAGCTGCCTTGTTATGAGTGTAAAATAATTTGTCTAGTTTGTGCAGATAGTGTTTAAATAAGGGGATAACTTTTTTATTCAAGGTTTTTACTCCTCTCTTGCCACAGAATCATAAAAGAAACTGCTTGGGGTCATTAGTGGTGACCTGCAGAGCCATTAATATTTTTTGTTCATGATTTAACATGAAGGCTTGAAAGAGTGTGAAGGTTTGTGTAATTTTTCCTAACAAGTGTCAGGAACACTTCAGTCACTCAGCACTTTTGCAAAGTGATGTGGTTTTCTGGGGATCTTTCATATTTGTTTTCTTGACATAAAATTGCCATGATGAGATGGAAGCTTATTTTTTTTATTTGGGCATAAGAAAAGTTTCTCACAGAGAGCTCTTACTTTGAAATTAGGTTGAAATAAACAGTTTTGACCTGGTGGATTAGAAGCCCTCTCTTAGTTTCCAAGCTTTTAATCTCATTTTTGGAATGACACTCCTGTAATTTTCTGGGTTGAAGAGTCAGTCTCCAGCTAGTTTCAAGATTTGACTCTATACTTTTGCATAGCAAGAGTTTTGCTTGCCTGTTTCCCAGCTCCTTTTGGGATGCCAAAGGGGGGGATAACAATTTGGGAGAACTCGGTCCCTCTTCACAAATCCTATCCTCCCATCCTTCTGAGGACCTTGGTAATGCATTGAAATTATGAGCAGTAGTTACCACCTGCAGGCAAAGGACTAAATTTGCTTTTGGAAACATCTGCAGGCAGCCTGTGCCCTACTCCAGAAATAGTTTCTGCCTCCCCACTTGTGAACTGCTGTATCTGAACTGCTTGATGGGTCAGTAGCTGCTGAGGTGTGTGAAGCTCCTGGTATAAAGAAATAGGAGATAAGCTTGACCTTGGCATTTACTTATGTGTGTGATAGGAGACTTCAGAAGCAAAAAGATAACCTCTGTGACAGGAGAAATATTCACAGCGCCTGATAGCAGCAAGCATGAACATGCTCAGCTCCTGGTGCAAAGGTGATGCTTTCTGCCCCTGGGGAGCCAGGGCAAGCTCAGAGCCTGCTTGTGTCTTGCTGTGCAAGGATCTGACCCCTTCCACCTGTTGTGCTAGTGTGGTGAGGCCACATATGGAGAACTGGGTCCAGTTCTGGGCTCCCCAGTTCAGGAGAGACAGGGAACTGCTGGAGAGAGTCCAGGGGAGGGCAAGAAATAACTGGGGGATTGAAGCATTTCCCTGATGAGGAAAGGCTGAGAGAGCTGGGACTGTTCAGCCTGGAGGAGAGAAGGCTGAGGGGAGACCTTATTAATGCCTGTAAGTGTCTAAATGCTGGAGAGAGTCCAGGGGAGGGCAAGAAATAACTGGGGGATTGAAGCATTTCCCTGATGAGGAAAGGCTGAGAGAGCTGGGACTGTTCAGCCTGGAGGAGAGAAGGCTGAGGGGAGACCTTATTAATGCCTGTAAGTGTCTAAAGGGTGGGTGCAAGGAGGATGGAGCCAGACTCTGCTCAGTAATTCCCAGGGACAGGATGAGGGGCAACGGGCACAAGCAGGAACATGGGAAGTGTCATTTAAATATGAGGAAAAACTTAATTACTGTGAGGGTGACAAAGCACTGGAGCAGGCTGCTCCAGGGGGGTTGTGGAGTCCCCTTATCTGGAGCCATTCCACACCCACCTGGATGCAGCCCTGTGGAATGTGCTCCAGGCCATCCTGCTTTAGCAGAGAGTTGGACTAGATGATCCCTAGAGGTCCCTTCCAACCCTGACAGGTCTGTGACTTTTGTTGGCTGTGTTAGTGTGCTATGTGACCTTTGTTGAGAAGCATTCCCCTCAAAGAACTTTGTTGTCTGTAGATGGCAGCCAGTGCTACTGAACTCCATGGCAAAATGTCCTGAGGTCAGTTGGAAAGCACAGTAAAATGCCTGCCTTGTGTGTCATACATTCTATCATACCCTGCCAGGTAATGGCAGGGTTTAGCAAATTGAGCATGCTCAGTGTTCAAAAAGGATGTGGGAGGTTGGTTTGTTTTTGGCAAGTGCAAACCCACGTCTTTTTTCAGTGTCTGCTTGTTGAATATGTGTCTGCCTTGGCTGATATTTATCTTCTGGTTGTCTTTCAGAATGCTCCAGGACGACCTGCAGCTCAGTGATAGTGAAGAGAGTGGTGACGACCAAGTCAGTTTTAGATGTTTTATACACTAGGCACACAGAAATCCCTTTAAATCACCACGACTTCTTGTGTTGTTCTGAGTTCCTTAAGCTAACCTTTCCTCCCCCTCTCCTCTTTGTGTTTTTGAACAAAACAGGTTGTTGAAAAGCCACCTTCTTCACTTGCTCCTCCAAGGTACAGGTTTGTTCCCAAACTACTAGTTTGACCAAATAAGGAGGAAAACCAAATCTACCTTTTACATGTGGGGTAGCTGTGGGGTTTCTCTTGTAGACACAGGCTTTGTTTTCTAGCTGCCTGAAGCTGCTGCTGGAAATTGGCTTTAGTTGTGTGGGGTTTTACAGAAAGCTCCAGCTAGAAGTTAGTAATCCATCCATGCTGGATGTTTTCCTATGGATGAGAATTGTATTTCCCCAACTGCTTCCTTCTTTTCTCCTCTTCCCCTCCACCTGAGTATACGTAGGTTGCACTGAAGCTAGTAGGATTTTCAGTTCTAGTAGTGATGGTTGAGGTGCAAGCCCAGTTTTAGTTCAGAAGCCCAAAACAGCTAAGCAGGTGAAGAACAGAAAAGGGTCAGGTAGACTCGTGGAGGCTGTTTCAGCTCCTTCTGATAAGGCAGCTGATTGTAAGCAGTTCCTGTCATGCATTATTAGGGTAGGCTGAACATCCACGTGCCAGCATTAGAGGAGGAAATATGGAGAAGCCTAGAACTTTTCCTATAGGAGACCACTGACATACACTTTTTGCCTTGGTGTCTATTCAAGCACAGGGGAATGGTCTCCCAAATCAGACCTGTAGAAGGCGTGCCAGTTCCTGGCATGACCTGCATCTCTGCAAGCTCTTGAAATAGTGTTCTCACCATATCAGTATGGATCAGCCAAGGAGCTTGCCTCCAAATTGTACAAACATGTTGATACTTATAAGCAGTTTTCAAAGTAAAAAAAACAACAACAAAATTTTTAATTATTTTTTTTAAAAGCCCATTTCAAAACAAAAATAAAAGTCTTGGCTCTCTCAGTTCCATTCTCTTCCATTGTCAGTGCTGGAGAAAACCACTTTTGAGTAGGGGAGGGTGTTGCAAAAAATCCTGCTGCTTGATATGGCTGTTAATGAAACAGTTACAGCACCTTGGGCAAGTAACACAGATGAAGAAGTGAAAACTTCAGGAGAACACAGGAGAGATAAACCATCTTGGAATGTGTGTTTCTGTCTTGTCAGCCTTCACTGGAAAGTTTTTCTTTTGAATCTTGGGGCACTGGTCAGTTTTGGGTGTTTAAAAAAGCTTGGGTTGGCTTAATGGATCTTCATATTCTAGCAATGATGTCCTGCTTATATATTTGTCTGACTGGGTTGGAGTTAAAGTTTTATTATTTCCAGAGGTTTTTTTTTGTTCTGGTGCTTTATCTTTTGAGTATGGCAGTGTGTTCCCTTGGCCTTCTCCCCTCTCCTCTCAGTGCCAAAACACAGGGTTTCAGTTTTATTTTTGAATCCTGCCATGTCGATATAGTAAGTAAGTAACCTTCACTCATGCTGCTTTCTAATTTTATCTCCTGGTGGCCTTGCAGTGCCCTACAGTCCCAGCCCAAGAGTGTGGCATCAGCACATTCCAGCAGCCCGGAGTCTGGGAGCACCAGTGACTCAGACAGCTCTTCAGACTCAGAAACAGAGAGCAACTCTAGTGACAGTGAAGCAAACGACCTTCTGAGAGCTTCAGCACCTGAGGTGAATGCAAATAAAAAGTAGAGCCTGCCTCATACAGTCTCCTGCCTTCAGACTTTCTGCACTCTGAATGCAGCTGGGACAGGAGACCTGAAATAGAGACAGGAGACCATCATCGTTCAGGTCATCAGACTTTTCTTGCCCTTTGCTGCCCTTCTAGAGTTTGTCAATTAAAGAACCCTTAGACAACATAATTGGGCTTTTATGTGCCTCACCTTGAACCTGGAGGAATTGGTGCCTTCACTGGCAAGGTGCAGGTGGGAAGCATGACTAGGCTGGGGTGTTTGGAGCCCACCTCCACCCATGCAGCTTTTCTGGGTGCCAAGGCTGTGGGCTGCTTCAGGATGAGACCCTGATGTTTTAAGAGGAGTTGCTGAAGCAGCTGAAGTGATCAGACCTGCAGGAAGAGCTGGAATGTGCTTACACTTGCTTCTGTTGCTTTTGGCTCAGAGAGTGCTGCACAGGCATTTCTGAGGCTTTTATTGGGAAAAGCAGACAAACAGAACATGGTGCCTTAAAGTTTCATAATCAGTACCATGCTTTCTTTTAAAAAATCTGCTGCAGAAGGGCTCATGTCCTATGGTTTCAAACAGTTCCTCCAGCTTGCAAAACATTCTCAGGCCAGTGGGAAGTGCATGGTTATCCCATGGACCACAGCTCATGTAAACCCATCTGCTGACAGTTTTGAGGTATTCTCACAAAGCCCAGAGAACTTGCAATTTACTTCTTCCCACACCCTGCCCTCCCCCAGGCCTGGCTTTCCTTTATTTTACCTTAGAAGCACATGAACAGGGGGAATTTTATGTGCAGAAAACAAGCTTTGAGGAGACATATATTTTCATCTCACAGCTAATAAAATTTACCACCCAGCACTTCAGTTACAGACTTTGCCTTCTGCAATGTGGGTGTCTTTGGCAGGAAACAGATGTTGTACTTCTCTTTTATCAAATCCTGCCTGGTTTATCTTGCAAATACTAGCTTGTTTGTCTTCAAAACACTAGATTGTAAGATTCTTCTCACTTAGTGAAGGCCTAGAAATTGGCCATTGGCCATTTGCTATGGTTTAAGGCTGGGCTGGCCACTAAACAGACTGCAGATGCTCTCTATTCAAGTTTTCCCTTTCCAGACAGGGAAGGGAAAGTGAAAAGGGAGAGTGTCCTAAGTGTTGGAAGACATTAAAACATCTTTAATGAAACAGTAACAATGAAACAAACCAGGACAACATTTAATCCTTTTTTATTCAGCAAGCTGTTCATCCGTGGTACTCAAGGAACAAGTTAGTGCACGTGGGCCATTTGTTAGCTAGTTCTTCACATGCAAAAGCACAGACTTTAGGACCTATAGGTAACAGTTTCTTTTTTCTTTTTTTCTTTTTTTCTTTTTTTTTTAAAGTCTCTTATTATCCTTTGTGTTTGGAAAATGTGACGAACACACATCTGATGGTGGTGATCACAACTGGTGGCAGAAGTGGTAGAGAAGGATCAGAGTATGCCACTGTCTGAGAGCTACCCAGATTATAAAGGAGAGCTTCATCAGTGTTCTGGCCATGCTTTTATAGTGTTTGACGCAAATCAGTGGCTAATAACTAAAACTTCTAATGGAAATAAAGCAGATTTGTTATCTGAAAAGCAGAATGGAATTTGTTATTTAATTTTACTGACAAACCCATTGTAAAAACAAACTGGTTTTTAAAAAAGGCTTCTAGATTGATTCAGTCCAACACAGCTGAAGACGTCTTCTTTATCCACATCATCCACATCTACAGTGAGTTGAGTCTGGATAGAGAAGAAAATAGCAGCAGAAGGGATACATCAGTCTTTGAAACCATTTCATGTTCTAGACTTTTTTTTTGAGGAAGAGCTGTGGCTCTTCTCAGAGGCAAAAACTGTGACTGGAGAAAACTGATGAGGGCAGGAGTGTAGCTGTGCTCTGATGGTGCCCAGATAATGACCTACACATTTGAGTGATGCTAATGGATAAATATTTATAGTACTTTCAGAATGGGCCCCAGAAAATCATGCTTCTGATTTGCAGCTTCTGTTGTAGGGATAGTTGGGTTTGCTTTTCTTGTAATTTGTCAAGGCTGCTGTTAGATTAGGCAGGGCTTGTAGCAACCACACTGCTACCTGACCATGACTCCAGAGGCCTTCAGACCTTGGTTGTTTCTTCTGCCTTGATTGACCCAGAGGGAAGTGAGTGTTGGGTTGTGTAGGCAGAGGACACAGAAGAGGCTGGAATGAATACACTAGCCATACAATTGGTTTTGGTAAGTGATTTTCTTTTGGTAAGTGATTTTCTTTTGGTTAGACCACAGGAGCCCAGCAGTCTCCCTGTCAGATTTCAATGAGATAGGATGGCTGGCACAGCTCCTTGTCTGCTTTGAAAGCAGTGCTATGTGTAAACAACTTTCCCAAAGAGCTGCAAGGACAACACCTGATCTGTTTTTACAATTGCTGCTATTTTTATATGTTGTCTGATGGTGCAACCATGTTGCTCACTGGCAAACTACAATGATGCTCTCGTGTAGACTGGTCTTTTACTGAGGTCCTGGAGTCCCGTGCAACACATTTGACTGATCCTGTGCAAAAATGAGGGTGGTATTTTTGAAGTGTTCACATGCACATGCTAGAGCATCCCCACTCAGAGGTTTTTTCACTTTCAAGCTCTTTTAAATTTTAATGGGTTCTGGTAAGCTGTGCTAGGATGGAAGCAGCCCCTAGACATCAGTTTTGCATCCTTTCTTCTCTCTTTTTCTCTGCAGCCTGACCCACCAACTTCCAATAAGTGGCAGCTTGACAACTGGCTGACCAAGGTGAACCCACCAGCAGTACCACCAGAGAGCCTCAGCGAAATTGCCCATGGGGATGGATGTGAGGAGGGCAAGGAGCAGGGGCAGGGAATCGGAAGCAGTTCCTCCCACCCGTGCGCTGAACCGAGGGAGCCTCATCACAAGAGCTCCAGCCGGGCAGGCAGGGCTCCTCAGGATGCTGCTCTTCACACCAAACACAGCTGCCACAAGTCCCCTGTGGGCACTGAGGAGCCCTCACCCAGGCAGACTGTAGGTAGCAAAAGGCCTAGCAAGGCCCCAGCACATGAAGGGCCCAAGGGAGGCCTGAAGGTGGAGAGCGACCCCGGTCCTTTTCAGATCAGAGACCAGTCTTCCAGAGACAAGCCAAAAGTGAAAACGAAAGGGAAGCCAAAATCCAGTGAGAGAAAAGACCTGAAACCAGCACTGCAAGAGCCTCCTGAGAACAGAAAGCACAAGAGTTCCCACCAGGCCAACTCCAAACCCTTGGACCCCAAGCTCATGAGAGATGCTTTGTTTGGCAGTGGCCAGGAGCACCTCGCTCTCAGTCCCCTTCCTCAAGGCCAGGGGACAACCCCCACCAGGAGCAGCAGCCACAGGCCTGCCATAGTAGGCAGAGAGGATTTTCACAAGGAGAAGCTTCCTTTGCCTGTCAATGAGAAGAAGCTGCTCTCACCAGTGAGGGACTCCCCCATCCCTCAGTCCCTCATGGTGAAAATAGATCTCCCTCTCCTGTCAAGAGTTCCCCAGCCCCCTGGGAAAGGCAGTCACCACAAGAGAGCAGTACCCAAGGAACTCTCCAGTGCAAGAAAGCAGGACTTGGAGAGGAAAACCACAGACACTCCTGACAAGTCCATTCAGAAGAGGAAGGTAAGAAGTGGAGGTGGAGGAGGTGGGTTTGTACAAGGACCAAAGTTGTATTTGAAAAACCCACATGGAGAATTTGTTTCTGTTTCACAGACAAGAATAGACCCATTATGCTCCTCCTGTCAAGATGTTATCAAAACTGTCCACAGATATTTCTGCTGAGCAGGTGAAAACCCCTGCAAGTTGTCTAACAAATGCTTTGGTGTTTAGAAACATTTTTTGCTGTGTTTTATTGAAGTAGTGATTTTCTCAGACAACAAAAGCCCAGCCACCCTATGTCAGAGGAGCTTTTGGCAGCAACCTGTGTCAGCATGTGGCTGGCCAGCCCCCTAAGAGCCTTTGTGGGTTTCAACCCAAGCAGAGCTGTGTAGGGCTGCAGTGCCCCTTCCCCCTTTAGCAGCACATTATCTGAAGCACCTCCCAGACAGTGCAGCCATCTGTGCTATCCATCTGATGTCTGTTATGGGAGAGCATCTTGCCTGCAGGTTGTGGAGGTCCCCAGAGGGAGAACCAGCACAAGCCACCCCGTCCTGTGGTTCTCAGTTTTGTCTGTGTGTGCACCTTCTGCTGCCATTAGCCATGCAGTCGTGGTCTGAGTAGTGCAGTCTTTTCCTTGGTGGAGTCGTTTGTTTCCATGAAACTATTGGGATTTCTTGCTTACACAGGGAGGAACAAATGCTGAAGGTGTGAACTGTGTTGTTCCTAGGGATGATGGCAGCAGCCCCATGCCTCTGGCTTTTTCATAAATGCTTTTAACTGAGCAAGGTTAATCCCTGCTTTGGACCTCAGCACTGGGATAAATAAGTAGAAAACTTCTTTGGTGCTGCCTGGACCTGCTGTGGTGCTGGCAGCAATGCTGATGTTTACATGATGCATTTTGAAAGGGGCTTTCCAGACACTCCTTAGAGGAGGAGTCCTTCAGTGGCACTTGGGGACATGGTTTAGTGGTGGACTTGACACTGTTAGGTTTACATTTGGACTCAGTGATCTTCAAGATCATTTACAAACTAAATGATTCTATGATTCTGCTCTAATAGTTGCCTTCCCTTGAATGACAAGACAGCTTTTTATTTATCTGAGGTGGTAGCTGCTCAAAGGCTGGTTCAGCTGCACTCAGAGTTGGCTGCAGGCCTTGTCATGAATGGCCATTCACTGTGGGTATTTCAGGATACCTTTTTGGTCCTCCTCACAGGGCAGGTGGCTTAGCATGTGAGGGTGAATAACCATGTGTTTCCCACGTGGGTTTCATTTAGTCTTGTCATTTTCTGAACTTCCCGTAGCTGTGGGGAGGACTTGAGAAGAGCAGGGAAATGGTGAAGAAACCTGAGGCCCTGGCAGTCCCCCTCTTGCAGGGCAGCAGGAGAAAGGTAAACAGGCAGTAGGTCTGTCACTCCTATTGTCTCTCAAAGACCCGAGAGAGGTGCTGTTTGATGTTAGACATGTCTTCCCTTGCAGTCTGAGTCCTGAGTGCAGGAAAAGCCACCTCAGAGCCTTTCTGTCTGTGTTATGCCAGCATGCATCAGTGTCCTTGGAGGCTCAGGCTTCATTGCAGGCAGCTAGGTCAGGTACAGCTCTCAGACATTTTCTGTGGCAGCTTGCAGCTCAACCTGAGGAACAGTTCAAGGACATGGAACAGGCTCCCCAGAGAGGCTATGGAGTCTCCTTCTCTGGAGACTTTCAAGACCTTTCCAGTCATGTTCCTGTGTGATGTGCTCTGGGTGATCCTGTTCTGGCAGGGGGTTGGACTAGATGATCTTCAGAGGTCCCTTCCAACCCCCACCATTCTGTGACTCTGGGTGCTGGAGCCTTGCCCTGAGCACACTACTAGAGAGCATGACCCATTTTGTTCCATCACAGTGACATAAACCTGCTTGTACTCTTTTGGGAGACAGACAGAAAGTCCTGGAATGCTTTTGGCTACCACCAGGCATGCTCTGGGTAATGCTGACTGAGAAGTGCGGTTTCTTTTGCATTTTCTTGGCTTATAGCAAATTATTCTGAAGTTTTTCGTTCAGGTGAGCTGATGATTTGCAGGCTTTGTATTGCAAGATCTGTGGAGTGCAATTCAAAGGTGTTATTTATTACCTCTTTGCCTTAATGGTTCCTGTTCTTCTGGAGAACAATGGCAGTGATTGGAACTGAATGTTTCAGATGTCACCTGTATCAGATTCTTGTTACAAACACAAAAAAGCCCTACACATCTGGGGGATCTGAGTGATCTAACTTGCCTGGGAATGTGTTTTTTTCCCTTCCCTTCAGTAAGGCATATCACAAACCACAACTGCTTGCAGGTCATGACCTTGCCAGGAGGAATTTGAATACAATTCTGGGTGTTGGCACAGAGTGGAAGAAAAAAGTCCATCCAGAACAGGTGAAATGCTTGTCTTCAGCAATGGAGGTGCCTTAGTTTGGATTACTATTAGCAACAAGAGGTTTTACCAGTTCCATCCCCAGCACTATAAGATAATTAATCCATCCAAGCAGAAGCAGATAAAATGTCATTTTAGGGTACTTGTCAGTGAGCCTGAACTCTACATCTGCTCTAGTCTGGGTTTCCACTTTGCCAGTTCCAATATCTTATATTCTTTTTAATCAGGATCAATCAAACTTAGCTGTGTTGGTCTGTAGTTCACAGGAACTTTCAAAACATGAGTGATTCTATTTATTTATTTATTTATTTATTTATTTTCTTCCTATTAGAGGGAAGCAGAGAAAGAGATGGAGAGGAAGAAAATGAAATCAGAAAAAGAACCTAAATCATTGCAATCTTCAGCCAGCAAAGATGCCAGTAAATTGAAGTGAGTATATAGTGGTGGGATGCCCGAAAGAAGTGTAAAACTGGGTCTTTCTTAAGTCTTACTGCTAAGGATCATGGTTCTAATAATTCAAGTTGATGGCTCAGTGCCTGGTCACCCTCCCATACTTGGTTTACACTGCTGCAAAGGGATTGAATGTTGGGGCATTTGTCCTGATTTCTAATAGCTAGGTGGGAATGAAGTCCTCACCATTTTCAACATCATTTTGTCCATCCTTCAGCTCATGATGCTGCATGTTCTGATCCATACATTACAAGTAACTCCAAAAATCTGATAATGCTGCAAGAAATTTAATTGCCAGTTGTGCCTGGACTACTTTTCCTTCTCAGCTGTCTTTCAGGTGAGGTGCAGGAAACAAATTTGTGCAAAAAAAAGGATAGGTTGAGTTGCAAGCAGTGGAGTTGACTGCCTGCCTGCTGTGATGCAGGAGTTGTTTCCCCTTCTCCAAACTGCAGTGGAGGCAATCTGTCAGAAGGTGGTTGTCCTAGATTATCTGGGATGTGGCAGCTGTTCTGTGGAGAGGGACATGTGCTTGTTCTGCACAATAGGGATTTCAGGGGGTGCCAAGAGAACTTGCCATCTAGTTGAAGATGTCCCTGCTTATTGCAGGGAGTTGGACAAGATGACCTTTCAAGATCCCTTCCAACCCAAACTATTCTATAATTCTATTCTAAGTCAGTAGACTTGAGAGTTCAAGCATCACTTATTTCTGCATTCACAAGAAATGGAACTAGACTTCATATGCTTTTAAAAAAGCAGTTGGACTAAATGATCTTGAAAGGTCCCTTCCAACCCAAACCATTCTATGATTCTGTGGTTCTGTCTTTCTTCCTCATTCTGGGTTCTTCTGTTATGCTTATTTTGGGCAAGTTTGTGCTCTCACACTGCATGAGAAGCAGCAGAAAGCTTTTTGTCATGATACTTCCTGTACCTTCAAAGTTCATAGTGTTTGCGAGGTGAGAAGATGATGTGAACATGTTTTACACATGGAGAAAGTGAGGCGCAGGTAAATTAGGTTGCTTGCTCAGAATCCTGCTGCAGGCAGGTGAAATAGCTGAAAATGTGGCCTAGAAGTCAGGAATCTCATTCCTGTGTCTGAGCAATCATGTCCACAGCAGAGAGAGTTCTGGCATCCTCTTGGGAAAGGATATTGGTCTAAATGTAACTGTACATCAATTTTGGCTTGTTGATTGTTGCTGTTTTCTTAATTGGACAGGTCCTGCTGAAAAAAAGAAAGTCAGGTGTTAATGCTGGTGCTGTCTGCTCCCTCAGCTCCTTTTGTGACAGGCTTTGAGTAGCACTTACTGGCTGGCTACTGGTGCACACTGTCTGTGCTAGGTGGGACCTGCCTTCTTCCAGCTGGGAACACAGAGGTGGATGTGTTGGATCTTGCACAGATCTGTTTTCTCACTGTGACTGGCCAATGGGCAAAATGTGCAAAGCCCATTTCAGAAAACAGATCTGCATGTATCGGTGGGGAGGGGTATGGAGCCTTTCCCTTCTCCACTGAAACCATCTTGTTCTCTTTGTCCTTTTTGTATGTGACCTAATGGGGACAAAGCCAGCAAGTCTTCTGAATCATGACTGTCTGGAATTTCAGGTGGCCTTGATGGCTGGGAATTTTATTCCAACGTGGTGTTTGCAAGGCTTCTGATAGATCTGCTGAAACCTACGCTGTAATTTGCATACCAGTGTGTACTGCCAGCATTTTGGCTAGGTCCAGCATTTGCTAGGGCAAATGATTCCAAGGGCATGGCTTCAAATGGGCAGTGTTCCCAAAAGGGGAGGACCATGCATCAGTCATGGGCTACTGCATGCCATTTCCTCCTGCCTGTGGCTTGAATTTGAGATACTGACTTTTGGGTTGGTGTGTAGTGTTGAGATTTGTGTCCTGCCAGTAGGAATAAACTGCTTTTCTGAAGAGAAAGCTCTGGTGTACTCTGAAACCACTGAGACATTTTGGGGCTAAAATTTAGTTGGGTGGAGGATGACACATGACTAAGGCGTTAGAGCAGGAGCATCTCCCTGTTGAGGAAAGGCTGAGAGAGCTGGGAATGTTCAGCCTGGACAAGAGAAGGCTGAAGGGAGACCTTATTAATGCCTACAAGTATCTGGAAGTTGGGTGCAGGGAGGATGGAGTCAGACTCTTGTCAGTAGTTCCCAGGGACAGGATGAGGGGCAACAGGCACAAGCTGGAACATGGGAAGTGCCATTTAAATATGAGGATAAATTTATGGTGAGGGTTGGAACAGGCTGCCCAGGGAGATTGTGGAATCCCCTTCTCTGGAGCCATTCCACACCCACCTGGATGCAGCCCTGTGGGATGTGCTCTGGGCCATCCTGCTTTAGCAGGGAGTTGGACTTGATGATCCCTAGAGGTCCTTTCCAACTCTGACAATTCCATGATACTTCAGCTGTGGTATTAATGCAAGGGCTTTAATTTTGGAGTTAATTTCCCAATTTTTTTTACAATGGAAATGACCACCCCTTTTACCCATGTTCTAGCTTTCAGAGTGGGAAGGACAGGATACATTTTTGGGGTAGAGGGTTCTGGATAAGGTCAGGGAAAGCTGCTGTGCTTTCCGTAAAACAGTCCTTTCTGTAGTGTCTGTTGTATCAAGGTGGTGAAGCTGGGGAGTGCAATGTGTGCAACTGTACCATGGGAAAAGTGGGTTGTGGAAGAGGTGGAAGGGCTGCCCCATGAACAGCAGAAGCAAGATGTGAAGTGTCATGCTCACTGGATTTACCTCAATTTCCTCCTCTTCTGATATTGGACTCTGTGAGTTGGGATTCAGTGCTCAGTGTTTTCTTGGAAACTTTCTGAGAAGCTGAATGAAAGTGATGTAAATGGGCAGTAGTGAAACAATCCTGACTTGAGATGATCAGAAATTTGATACTTTGCTGCATTATGAAATGTGACAGCCTCTGGCATTTAAAAGCACAGCATTTTAAGTCTCTGTTACTTGAATCCTCTCAGCTTGATAAGTGTTGCCTAGTTGAGCTGGCAAGTCTTAGAGGACCAAGTCAGTTTAATTCTGTCAAAGCACATATAGGATCAAGTGTCAGGGGCAGTATCTCTGACCACAGAAGATATCTTCTGCCTTAATGAGGAGAGGGAGAGAGGTAGTGCTGCTGTTTGTTTGCTTTGTTAGGTGATTTGTCCTAGAGATTTTAGTCACTGTAATTACCCCTCTCCCTCTTTCAGTGACAAGGGGTTGGTGGGAGGGAAGTCTCTTGTGCAATATCCTGATGTTCTGGTTGAAGTCTTTACTCCAAGGATTAATAATTCTGAGGCTTATTCCTGCTTGAAAAGCAACTTGCTTGTTGGCAGCTGAGGATGTGGGATCTAATGCATGATGAAATCCCTGAAGTTACGTTCTGCCTTTGTTGAATTCTTTATGTTAACAAATGATCTCACACTTCCAGAAAAGTTTAAAGAGAATTGCTACATGATGTAAGGTTTTAAAAAATCCCTGCATTATAACAACACCATCTTCATCCCCATTGTTGAATTTGCTTCCCCATCTCCAGGACATCAAAAGCTTCATTTGAAACCCAGAAGAAAGATCTCCTGCTACCCCCACCACTGCCACCCATGTCTCCTGCACATCCTGCACCAAAGTCAACCAAGATGGCCCAGAAGAGACCCAAAAATGAGAGCAGTGAGCTGCCTGCCATGGATAACACTGCCGAGAACAAGAGCAACCCCAGAGACCCTTTGTTCTCCAAGCACAAGAAAGTGGAGAGAAGTCACACTGAACTGTCCAAGGGCATCAAAGTAGGTATTCATGGTAACTGCTGGGATGTTTCCTGCCACACCTGAGTGCTCTGTGATGCTCTGAGGATATTAAAGAGGACGATAAACCAGCCACCAGAGAGAGCTTTTTGAAAGAGTGGATTGCTTAAAAATAAGAAACAAGCACCCTATGTGTTTTGCTGCAACCTTGGTATAAGGTTTTATAGCTTGCTTACAAAATTGTTAGTGATTCTTGCAGCTGGATCTTGGCATTTTGGGGTTATAAAATTCAATTATGTTGCTATTTAGTAGAGCCTGGGGATGTGTGGTCTAGGATGATGGGGGGGGGATGTGTTAAGCCAGGCTGTGCATGCTGCATCAGTTGGCTTCTAACTGCTTGCTTTTTTCCTGATAATGTACTTGGTAATGGAGAATCAGCAGTTGCTGAAGCTGGAGAGAAGTGTGAATAGTTACTACCCATTCCTGCCTTGGCTAGTGGGTGTTGGGAATGTTGCAGCCTTCCTGCTGTCTTAGCCATTTTGCAGGGAAACCTTTCTCCGTGCTTGGGAAAAGTTTGGATGGTATTTAATAAGCCTTTCTAGCAGTCAGGTAAGAAGCCAAGTTTCCATTTACCATTTTTGGAAGAAGTGCTGAGGAAGAAGGTAAGAAGAGGGAGAGAACCTGCAGGATAGACTATGTCTATTTTTTCCTTGAAATTTAGGCAAGCCAGGCTTTGGAACTGACTTAGATATATCTTTCTAAGCAGCTTTATCTCTACGCTATTTTCCAGGGATCTGCAGGGGATGTCACAAATCCTTTCCCAGTGCCTTCTTTGCCAAATGGTACCTCCAAGCCAAGGAGACCTCAACTCAAGTTTGAAAAGTAAGTTTTTGTTTTACACCCCTTATCTGTACTTTCTAAAGACCCCAGGAAAGGCTCATCCTGTACCCACCCTGGCTTCTGCTTCTTAGTGAGGAAAGAGAAAGGGAGAGATGTCTGGGACCTACTCTGAACCTCCTTCTCATGTCTGGGACTTACCCCACCCACCGCAAAGCAAAGCTCTCATTGCAGCAGTTCTTGCTTTGAGGGAAGTCACTCTGGAAATGAGGTATTTTTTAACCCTCGGGGGAGGTCTGTCTTGTGCCTGCCTCCAAGTGGTGGGTGTTGATTTGTCTGATTCTTGACAAATGGCAAACTCCTCTGTGACAAGGTGCTGGACACTGCAAATGCCATGTGGGTTGGCAGGTTACAGACTGAACTGCATCCACTTGAGGGCTTTTGCTAGAGTGGAACAGGTTGCCCAGGGAAGCTGTGACTGCCCTGTCCCTGGAAGTGATGAAGGGCAAGTTGGATGGGGCTTGGAGCAACCTGGGCTGGTGGGAGGTGTCTCTGCCTATCCATGGAGTTGGATCTAGATGATCTTGAAGGTCCCTTCCAACCCAGACCATTCCATGATTCCATGATTTATGTGTTGATTGTGACCAAGACACGTGGAAGCCTTGGTGACCATATCTCTTGCAAGCAGGTAACCTGAGTGTAAGCTCTTTTGGTCTGAGATCAGTGTATTGTGCTGCAAAATTTACTGTCTTTCAAACAAAGTCTGCTTGTGGTATTGTACCTGGGGAAGGACAGGAAGTCACTTAACTACTGTCTTTCCATATGAATGAGGTAGTAAATTTGGCTTCACAGTTGCCTGACCTTCAGTGTTTTTTTTTTCTTTTGAAATGTAGGTTCCTTGTAATTCTAACACACATTTGTTAAGAAATCAGTTCATTTTATTTGTGCATTCAGCTGCTGTGCATTTCTGAGCATGCAGACAAGATTAATTTAGTGACTCTCATACTTGTGTGTTAGATAAAGTTGTTTACAGGCTTACCAGAACAGGATGTTTGAACTCATAGCATCCTCTAGATATGAAGGTAAAATTGATAAACATCTTATCTTTTTTCTCTCTGGTTTCTGTTTTTCCTCTCTCTGGCCCCAATTCAGACAGCACCCAATGGAATACTACATAGAAGAGGCCAAGAGGCTAAAGCACAAAGCTGATGCAATGGTAAGTCTTGGTGCTGTGCAAGAAATGTTAGCAGGATTTTGCATTTGAACCTGATCCCTGAGTGCATGGGAACAGATTCACTGGCCACCAGTGCATCCCTGCTCCATCCTGGAGTCTCTTCAAGCACTATGTGGAGAGATTGTGTTTATTTGCCAAGTGTTTAGGTATTTTTCTTTGTTATAAGCATATAGAGAATCTGTTAGATGGATAAAACGGTTAGTTTTAAGACAGTTTACTCTGAAACACCAGGATCCTGATGGTAATTGGTGATCAAAGCTTGGTAATGCCCTTGGCATTCCTTCCCTGGCTGCAGTTGAACAGCTTGCATGACTGAACATGGTTCTTTGCTAATTATGGCTCGGTCAGATAATTGTACATTTGCTACTTGCCATTTCCCTGTGAAAATGAAGTGAGGGAAAAACCCCACGTGCCTCTCACAAGGCAGGCCTCCAAGAAAAAGGAAAACCTTTGAGTATGAGAAAGAGATCCAAATAGCCAGAGCATGCAAAGCTGATGGCTGGGACAACATTAGGGGTTCTGCTGCCAACCCTTTAATTATCACCCCGAGGCCTGACTTGCACCTTTTTTGGAGAAAACAGGAATTCAAGCACACTTGAGAGAAGTCGTTTTTGTCTAACAATGAGGATTTTCTTCCCAACAGGTTGACAAGACAGGAAAAGCCTTTCAGTACCTAGATGCTGCCCTTTCTTTCATTGAATATGGAATTGCCTTGGAATCGGATGCGTCGGCACCAAAACCCGCCTACAGCATCTTCAGCGACACCATCGACCTCATCAAGTAAGTGGTTTCAAACACGATGACCAGGCAGTGCACGTGGAGGCCAAGGGTTAGTTGCGTTCTTGTTTGCAACTGGGGCAGCCCTTGATTCCCACCGTGGGGCAGAGTTCAGGTTGCTGGGGAAGCAGGAGACAGACAAGACCACCCAGAGGCACAAACCCTTTGAAGTGTTTCGGCATCACTCATCGGAAGAAGAAGGCACCATGTCCTCCTCAGCATCTGAGCCTTGCAGTTGAGCTACACCAGAGCACACTGACTGTGGCAATTGAGGACACAAAGGAGTTTTCACTTGGTCCAGCTATGAAGCTGCTTTTGCATGTGATCTCAGTAGTATATTGGTTAAAAAACCCCAAGCAATATACCTTGTGGAAGAGCAGTTGTGGCCCAGAAGACTTGTAGCTTGATTGAAGGCAGATTTTACTGGTTTCTGCCATGTGTTTTTCTACCAGTATACTTTGGGGTTTCTTTTAGCAACCTTTTCCATTTAGTTTCACAATATATATTAGATATATATAGATAGTATGACATATACATGCAGCAGAACCCAAAGAACCATGTTCTTGGACAACACTTCTTGGACAGAAGAGCGACAGGTATCTGTTCATGTTCAAATGACAAGTTATGTGGGTGGATTTGACTTCACATAATGGTTTGAGTTGGAAAGGAATTTAGAGAAAGGGTAATTAAACACTGGAACAGGCTGCCCAGGGAGGTAGTTCAATCAGCATCCCTGGAGGTGTTTAAAAGCCCTGTAGATGTGGTACTGTGGGACGTGGTATAACACTGGATTTGGTAGAGTTAGGTTAATGGCTGGTAGAGTCACTTAGGGCTGGGCTCAATCTTAAAGGTCTTTTCCCACAAGAATTATTCTGATTCTGTGACTTCAGGTGCATCCTTAGATGGTCTTGAACCTGATCTTCTCCTGCAGTGGGTGCTTCGACAGTTTCTCTGTATTCCTCCCAAGCTGTCCTTGGTCCATCCTCAGTAGACATTCTTTTTGTATTTGAGCTTGTCCAGTTTGAATTCTTGCCTTAGAGGTGTCAGGGTTCATTTGGTTTGGGTTGTTTTGTTGGGTTTTTTTGTGGTAGACTTAGAACTTTCTAAGTGACATTGTTTCCTTTCTAGTCTTAGACTGTATTTCCAAGATGCTGCTGTTGCTTTGTTTCTTGCCAAGAGAAACATTTCTGCTGAGATGTCTGTCTTGTCCAGAAACACTTGAATGAAAACTTCACCTTCAGTAACAGGGACACTTCTTCTGGACCCCAGACCTGCAGGAGGCACACGAGGGGCATCTACTTGTAGGGATGTCTCATAAGGGGCCACATCTGCTCCCACTGCAAGGAAAACAAGGCATTTTGAAACACAGTCCCCTGCTCAATATCATACAAAGCACTCAGTGCCAGGGCTTAGAACTTGGGCAGGTTTCCTGTTTCCTGTATCCTGTTTGAGAGAATAACAATAATAATGCACTGCTTTTCACATAGTGAGACTTCAGAGAGCTGATGGCTGACAAGGTTCTGTTTGTTTTGTTTCCTTAGATTCATCATGACATTGAAATCCTTTACAGACTCCTCAGCATCTTCACAGGAAAAAAGCTTTGCCGTGTTATGGTGCGTGTTTTTCTGTGCCTTCCTATTCTGGTTTGAGACTTGCTAGAGCCTAAGACCAACTCCTTTCAGAGTGAAGGAATGAGTTAAATGCAGATCAAGAGTTCTGCAAGGCTAAAAAAAAACCCCATAATATAAAAAGCAGAATGAACTGGAACATCTCTGAAGTGAGCTGGGATACCACAAGGGACCACACGTGGAAGGCACAGGCTTAAAAAAAAATAATCTGGTGGTAACTTGAGAGCACAGAAGGGCTTTCACCTAAGGTGAAAGAATGTGATTTGGCTGCCCATGTTTGAGCTGTGTAACTGAAGTTGAACATAGCTGAGGCACTTCTGGGCAGGGGCTTATTCAGCCTGTGGCACTTATAAGAGACTGGGCACCTCTTCATATAAAACACCAGACGTGGTTCTTGTTTTTTTCTTTTCCCTTGTGATTTATTTTTTCTTTTCCCAGTCTTTTTTTCTAAGATGAGCAGAAATTGTGAGCTTTCTTGGCTTTGCAGGACAGCTGATGTGTGCCTGCCTCTGTCCCACAAGGCTTCTGAGCACCAGCACTGACCCTGGGGTGTGTTTTTGTTCACAGCATGCGCTGCCAGTCCATCCTGCACATGGCAATGTTTCGTTACAAGAAAGACACTGCAATCAAGTATTCCAGGATCCTGAATGACCACTTCAAGGTAGGGCACACTAAGTGGCTGGGCAGATCCCTACACTAGTCACTGATGTTAGCTGAACAACCCAAACTTAACAAGAACTCTGTTCCTTGCTGCAGAGTTCTTCCAGAGGAGCACAAGCACCTTCCCCGTGTGTGGCAAGGTAAGATTTAAAAATATGTAAGTTATAATGTGTCTAGAAGGGTGTGAGTGAAAACAGTAGCTGGAGTATTTGGGTTGCAAGATACATTTGAGAGTGCCTCACAACTTGCCCTTTCTTGCCAACTGAAACCATACTGTTAGGGGGCATGAGTATATTTCTGCTCTGTCTTTCCTGTCTGTTTTCATTGGAAAGGGCTTGGGGTCAGGTGTTTTTTTGTTATGAGGTCCAGAGTTACTGTACATCAAGAAGAGCAGTTATCCACCAGAGAGAGAAAGTTACCACCAGGTAAGAGAACCAAGGAAGATATTGTCACTGTGCTGTTTCAGAACCTCTCTTGTCATCTTAGTTATCTCAGAGACACTCTGAGACTTAATGGGAGACCATCCTCATCTTCTTGGCCACTCTCAGAAGGGTCATGCCATCACCCTGTGGTAGCATAACTCTGAGGTGTGATTCAGTATTTTTCTCTCTAGCTCAGTCACCAATGAGGAAAAAGAAAGTCATTTTCTAATTTGCAAATTACTGAGCATTTTGTCCTTTCTGTGTGTCTGCAGCAGTGTTGCTGTGGCAGTCAAGCTGTCACATTGGAGTGTTGGGCCTGATGCTCAGCAGACTGAGCCTGTATTTTAATGAGAAGGAGTAAGAAAGAGCTTTTCTATGTGCTGTGGTCATTGCATTTGGCAGGTAGCTGCCTTGCTCCATGTTTGTCCCTTTTCAACTCTGCTAGTGTTTGGTCTTCTGTAGTGATGCTGAAATTCCAGCTGTTTTTCTGCCACCTTGCACAGTGTAGTTTATTGGGAAGTAAATGTTCTCCCAAGAGCAGTGGTGAAAGCCTCCTCATACCAGTGGCTAAAATGAGGTTGGGAAAAGTGGTGGGAGTGAAAGGATGTGTTGGAACCAGCCTGTGTATGGAAGGCAGGCAGCTGCCCACAGTTAGCTTCACTAGGTCTATAAATAAGTGTGTGTAGGCTGACCTGGCTGCATTGACTGGCTGTCAGAAAGCTCCAGCTTCCGTAGGTGGGAAGCTTCAGCATGCCTGAAATGGAAGTCATTAGGAAAAAAAACACTTAGATAATGCCATATGAGGAGAGGCTGAGAAAACTGGGTTTGTTCAGCCTGGAGAAGAGAAAACTTAGGGGAGACTTCATTACCATGTTCCAGTGCTGAAAGGGTGGCTACCAGGAAGATGGGAACTCCCTGTTTACAAGGAATCACATGGAAAAGACAAGGGGTGATGGGCACAAGATGATCTTTTGAGGTCCCTTCCAACCTCTGGGATTCTGTGATCCTGGGGAGATTCTGACTGGACACAAGAGGTAAATTTTTCACCCTGAGGACAGTCAGACGTTGGAATAGTCTCCCAAGGGAAGTGGTGGATTCCCCCCTGTTGTTTGAGGTCTCAGCTGGACAGGGTGCTGAGCCATCTCATGCCAACCATAGTTGTACCTAGAGAGGTTGAACCGGGTGATCCTTGAGGTCCCTTCTAACCTGGCATTCTATGATCCTGTGATAATCTGGTGAAGGCTTCACAAGTAGGTGTAGATTTTTGAAGGTGAATGAGTGGCCCTTCCTGATGTCTGACCTTGCGTTTTCTTTTGCCAAGAGGAGTCCTTAGAGTCACAAATCACTTCAAAACCCAAGGTGTTGCACTTGAAGGACAGTTACTTGTTATACAGCTGAACATGCCAGTTTTCAGCACTCCCCTCCATGCTGCAGGTCTGATGATACCGAGCAGCTCCTGGCATAAGCTAGTCTTGTGGGAGGACTTGTAGCTCTGAAGCTGAACGTTCCTCATGGTGTTTCTTTCTCCCACAGAAGCACAGGCATGCCTTCTCCTCTGTCTCCAATGCCCTCTCCTGCTGGATCTGTGAGTTCCCAGCCAGGATCCAATGCTGGCAACTGCAGTGGCAACAGCATTTGCTCTTCAGTCACTGTACCCTGTAATATCCTAAGCATGACCTCTTCCTACATCAACATCACTTCCTATATCCTCTATGCATATGATATTTGGGAACAGGCTGATGCACTAGCCAGGAAGAATAAAGGTAAGTTTCTGCCCTTTGGCTTTTCTGTCTTATGTGTTGTGGTTATGTGTATGTACTTGCTTCAGTCCTCACACTCCATGTAGCAAACATCAAACCTCAAGATCAAGCACTGTGGAGGTTGAAATAGACAGCTGTGGCATATGGGCAAGTCATTAGCAGAGATGCTTGATGCTCATATATTGATGAGTGTTCCAATTTGTCTTGGCATCCTCCAATGTCAGAGAGCTAAGAGATGAGGGTATCAAGTGCAGGAAACCAGCCAGCTCACTTCATGGGAGCACAAGAAGTATAATGGGGTTTGGGTGTTTGTTTTTCCCTTTGGGGCACTTAGCTTATATGATTTGGTTCACTTTAAAAATGAGGGTTTGGCCTGTAGCTGTGAAACTTCCAGGTGTTTATGTCTTGAGAACAATGAAGCTGCCTTCTCTCTGTAACAGAGAAGCTGAGCAGCACTTGAAGTGCTTACTGGGCAAGTGACCAGTATTTGCCAGCACCTCCCACCAGCCCAGGTTGCTCCAAGCCCCATCCAACCTGCCCTTCAACACTTCCAGGGACAGGGCAGTCACAGCTTCTCTGAGCAACCTGTTCCACTCTAGCAAAAGCCCTCAAGTGGATGCAGTTCAGTCTGTAACCTGACATCCCACATGGCATTTGCCATGTCATTTTTCATAAAACACCAAGTTTTGTGAGCTCCTATGGCTGAAGGGATGGATTGCCACAACCTATTGGCAAACCTGCAAAAGAAAATGAGCACTACGTGCCTGGCTGAATGGTTGGGAGGCTGTAAAAATCCTCCCACTGATGACTCAGTTGCTGAAATTCAAAAGGCTTTTGCAAGTTACCTTTGGATAAAGTAACTCCACTTGTTGGCTGTCCTCTGAGCAAATCTGTGCTCACAGCAGCAATTCTTGTGTAGTGTTTTGGATTATATCCTCAAAAGGCTTGATAAAAGACTGTCACACTGAAGGAGTGGTGGGTGCTGCTGGTGAGGCAGAGGAATGAGTCATGGAGAAGAACCTGTGGGAGGGCAGCCTGAGCACAATCTTGCATCAGTCAAGACTAAATTCAAAACCTGCTCTGTGTTGCTGTTTTAATATAGGGGGGTGATGACTGAAGTAGTAAATACTCCCAGGGGAGTGCATCTGTGCAAGAGAACAGTAAATACTCATGTGGGCTTGGCAGTTGTCACTGTTCAGGACAGTCCATATCTGGTGCAATGTACAGATGCTAAGAGGTACGGAGAGTAAGTACATGAAACTAAGGACAAGGCCACATCCTTGAGTTTTTTAGGCAGTTCCTAGAGCATAAGAAGAGTAAAGATCAGTGACCTTCAGCTGTTGAGTTCCCTTAAACAGGGAAGTCACAGAATCACCTTGATTGGAGCAGACCTTCAAGATCACAGAGTCCCACTCTCAACCTAACACTGACAAGTCCTTCACTAAACCATGTCCCTTAATACCACATCTACACAACTCATAAATCCCTCCAGGGATGGTGACTCCATCACTGCCCTGGGCAGCCTGTTCCAATGCCAGACAACCCTTTCAGTGAAGAAATTCTTCCTGATATCCAATCTAAACCTCCCCTGGCACAACTTGAGGCCATGACCTCTTGTCCTGTCACTTGTAACTTCATTGAACTGCCCTATCCCCACCTCTTCACAACCTCCTCTCAGTTTGTTGTAGAGAGCAGGAGTTAGTGAGAAGCAGTTCCTTGTAACTGAGTCCCTTGTGCAGACCTGAGGTGCTTCCTGGTGGGTCCACAGTCAGGTGCTTACAGTGCAGGACCCAGCTCCTTGCTGTGATTCAGAGCAGTGCCCTGGATCATGAGGCTGGTTATCTTCTGGCCTCCCATCTCCCACAGTGAGGACAAACTGAGGCTGCCTGCCTGCATGTGAAGTCAGTCTCCTTTCACATGGTGCTGTGGTCACAGATTATCCTTCTGTTTGCTCAAGCAAGGGGATTGGACTCCTTGTCTCTGCTTACAGCTCTTCTGGTCCCCGTGGAGGGAATGGACACCCGTTTTGCAAACAAAAGCAGGAAAAGCAGGGCAGATATGTTCCCTGCTTCTGAATTGGAAAGTATTAAAATGGAAGTGTTGTGCTCTTTGCTTCTGAAGAATTCCTTGCACAGCCAAGCAGAAATTTTCAGCCTCCAGGTTCAGTCTTTACATGTTAAAAAAAAAAAAAAAGAGAGAGCCTATAATAGTCAGTTTCTGAAAAGGTACCTGGCAACACGATTGAGGCTGGAGGAGCAGAGAGACTGGGATGAGCACATGTCACTGGAAGGCAGGTCATGCAGGAACATCTTGGAAATGTGACTGGAAAGTGTGATCATTGCCCATATCTCCCTGTCACTTGCACAGATGATTGGCAGCACAGAGCAGGACCTTCAGCCTCTTGGCAGGTTCAGATGTGCTGCAAGAGCCACCTGCTGCCCCTGCAGGAGGACTGCAGTGCATGAAGGTTGTGGCAGGATAGGGGGACTCTCTTAAATCTGCCTGAAGTGCCCAGCTATAAGCAACCCAAACCAGAACTGTGTAGCCTGGCAAGCTGTACACATTTTTAAACCTATTCAGTTGAGAAACCATGAAACCTCCAAGGCCTGAGGATGGATGGAGGAAAGGGACTAGTCTGATGACAGCTGCCTGCAGTGTCCAGGCATCACTCAAAGACACTCACACTTGGCTGTTTAAAATCTGGGGAAGCATGCAGCAGGTACTGGGGCTTGGACACGTAAACTTTTACCCTCTTGCCATGGAGTCTTGCTGCCCTTTTGAAGCCAGGAGGTGGTTTGGTGGGAGGGGTGTGGAAGTGCCTTTTCTCCTGTGCTTTTCCAGTCTCCCTGCATTTCCCATGTCTTTAACCATGTCTTTAACTGGACTTGCCACCTGTCTGTGCTGCTGTTGTCACTCCTGGCTGCCCTCGTTGTGTGAAACCAACCCAATGTTTTCTTCTCTCTCCCTCCCCTTTTTCCAGAGTTTTTTGCTGAGCTCAGCACAGTGACGTGCACTCTGGCACTCAACAGTAGCATGACAGAACTGGTACACTACACTAGACAGGGTTTACAGTGGCTGAGACTGGAAACAAATACGCCTTAACTGGTGCTCAAGGTGGTACCTTGAACTTTTTTTGCACTTTTGAAGCCTCAGAAACAGTCTTGACTTTTGAATCTTTGGATACAAAGCACCTGCAAGGGAAAAGAAAGCAAGGAATCTGGTTACACTGGAAAAAAGAACCTTTGAACTGTGTCTTTAGGGTAGCACTTTGCTGCCTGGAAAAAGAAGAGATGGAATAAAGCCTCAGTGTGGATGGCACCTTCCTTTAGATGACAAAGTGCAATGAATTGTCTGAATGGCTCGCTGTATTGATGGTCTATAAACATTTCTATGATGAATAACCAGCAGGACAATAATCACACATGAAGAAGTGCCGACAAGTAAGAAATCTGCCTCCAGAGGTTATTATGCAACATCCCATGGCCTGCGACAGGTTTGTGCCCAGAAGACATGTCAGAGAAGTGTTTTTGCAAGCGCGGGTGCAACCTTGGGTGTCACTGTTCCTCAGATGGCAAGTAGCAACCTCATCAGCACCAAAACAGCATTACAAGAAACAGAGCCAACTGGTCTGCCTTGCCTGCTTCCCAACCTCACCCTCTTGCATTTGCCAGCCAGCTGCTGTCCTGGTCACCAGGGGAAGCCACTGCAAGTTCACTTGTCAAATCATGGCTGATTTGGGCCTCCTCCTTGACATGCACTCAGGCAAACACGTGCCCTTAGCACTCCAAAAATGTTACTTAAAAGTCTTGCTGGGTCGAAGCCTTGTAAGCTAAACACAGTTGAGGTGACAAAATGATCAGGAGTGGTTGGAAGCAGCTCTGCCTCTCTGTGGTGGAGGGATGTCCCTCACACTGAGGACTCATTGACCAGGCACTTTCTGTCCTTCAGTTGGTGGGGGTGGACGGCTCTACTGGGTTGTTGTGGTTGCTTGGATGTTGTTGTGAGTCTGAGAGCTTACAGAGGGGAAAATTCACATCTGTTTAAGGAGGGAGTAAGTGGCTAAATGTGGAACCTCAGACAAATTCTGCCTTTGGATTTTTGCCTGCAACCATTGCTGGTCTCAGTGAATATCCAAGAGCAGGTTTGGTGACACAGGAGGGCATCCTTCATGTGGGAGGTAACTCATGTGCTCTTTCTCAACCGAACTACAGGATGGGCCCAAACAGAATATCTGTCAAGGGAACACAAAAGGGAATAATGAGCTGTTTGCAAGCATTTCTTCCTTGTCAGGAACTGGGTTTTTGGAATTGTGATTCTGTGGGTGACAATAACGGTGAAGGCAGCATCCGTGACATTTGTGTTTTCAGTCAGATGAAAGACCCTTCTCTACCCAAAGATTTTCTGCTGGGTGGCAACAGTGTCCTGCCATCCTCACATCTGATAGTCTTGTGCCTTAGCCCTCTGGTCCCCTCTTACATCCCTTGCCCTATCTCTGACAGGCCCACGAGATTGGCAAAAAGAAAGATGGTAACTCAAAATAATTGTGCTTACAGGAAAGGATTAGCTCCCTTTTCCACATAATTTCAGGGTGGAGGAACAGGTCTGCATGCTTGCAGCAATACCCCCTTTGTGAAGTACCTGCTTGTGATGTTGAGGCTCACAAAAATGGACCATGAAGAACTAATCAGCAAAAGGTCTGCATTTCCAAAAGTAGTTTTCGTGGCAATGGCCCCTGCCCTGGGGAAGCCTGAAGTCACCTCACCTTTGGGAGAAGCTGCCCTAGTCCCAAGCACGAGGGAGCATCCCTCTCACCTCTCCTTGCAGCACGGGGCCCCCAGGGACCTGGCTGGATCTTCCTGCACCTTCAAGGGACTGTCCTTTTATGTTCACTTTATTCAAAGCCTTAGTGCATTTCAGGGATAAACTGTCCTAACCAGTGGAAGGAAGGTCCATGTCCCCCCCCCTCCCCATTTCACCTCTCAAACTTCACTTTCACTCCTCCGAGGAGGAGGGACTGCTCTGGGTAAGGCAGGGACAGAGAGAGGCTCAGCAGTCCCTCAGTTGTTCTCAGGAAGTGTGGGGATGGCCAGCTGGCCTGGAAGCTTGATGTGCACTTTTGGAGCTCGATTCCAGACTGGAATTGAGGCCTTCTTCTGACTTTGACTTCAAAGCAAGCTAGTTTTTAGGATCACCAGCTGGAAGGAAGAAAGCTTTATTGAACCTGAAAACCACTGTGGCAGTCTGCAAGCACCCTAGCAAAGTGTTGGGGGTGAGCAGAAGGTAAAGCAGGGACACCAGTCCCCCTGGTACTTTAATTCCACGTGCACCTCTGTCCTGTCAGGCCAGATTCCCAGCAGGGAGCTGCTTGCTCACACCTTGCCCACCCTGGGGAGACTGCCTGCTGGAAGCTGTGGGGCAGGGACATGTGGCTTCCTCTGTCCTGCATCCAGCTCAGTGCCACCCGTGGGTGCACCAGGTCCTGTCCTTGCCTGTTCTTGGGGCACTTTGCTGCCCAGAGAGGGGTTGTCTCTGGTGTCCTGCTACTAGGAAAGCTCACACGAGGGCGCTGGGTGAGCAAGTCAGGGAGAAGACATCCAGTGAAGGCAGATGAAGTCCTGGCCTCTGCTTCTTTACAGTTGGCCAAAGGCAGCACATGCTGTGCTGCTGTGTGGAGGGGGTTGTGCAAGGGCTGCTCTTCCTCCCAGGGTGAAGTGCCCTGGGCTTCCCAGGGCATCTCCCAGGAGATGAGATCCTGGGCAGTTGGTATCCCAGGTGTGCAGGGTTTATTTAGGAGCTCTCATCTCAAGGGCAATCAGTGGAAGCATTAGCATCAAGCTACATAGCATGAAGCTATATTTTGTTTCAGGTCATGGAGAAGACTGTTTAAATAATAGGAAATATTGAAAAGCCATCGTGTTTCAACCTTGAGCCAGGTCAGAGGCCTGCAAAGGGTTGGGAAAGATGCTCATTGTTTTCACTTGGGCCTGTTCAGGCCTTTAAAAGAAAAAAAAAACAACAAAAACATAACCCAAACCAAAACATAAGTGGAGGAAATAGCATTTGCCATTAAGAAACAAAACCATGAATCCAAGGAAAACCAGAGGTGGTGGTCGAGTCCCAGGAGAGGAGGCAGCTATGGTGGCAAAGCAGCATCATTTCCATGCAATATTTATTTAGAAGAAATAATACATGTGATGAAATGGTCAAATGTTCTATTTTTAAGATGCCATTATTTAATAGTTGAAAACCCCACTCACATGGAGATAGAAATGTCTTCTGTAACTGAAAGTCAAAGTGTGACTGCAATGTCCTTGTTTTTGGTTTTGTCCTTTCCCCTCCCTCTTGGTTCCCCCTATAAATCTGTACATCTTAAGCTTATGTTGGGGATTTATGTCCCTCTTGTAAATAATTTTTTTCTGCCCTGTGTGTGATGGAGTTTCCGAGATGGTTGATTCATTCATATGGGGAAATAAACAATAAATGAAGTAGCCTTTTTGTGATGAGTTATTGCAGGAGTCCTCGTGCTCTCAGCTTCTTGTAGGGAAGTGGTCATTTGCCTTTTCTCTCTGCATCCTCTGAGCCTTTCCCTTCTGAAGGAGTTTTTGGTAGGACTGTTGTACAAAAAGCCTCTGTTGCAGTTGCCCCCCTGAACAAGACTCAGAGTGGCTGAAGGGTCACGACTCAAGACTCTGCCTCCTGTCCTCCCAAAATGGGTTCAGGGAAGGCTGTGCTGGGGCAGCTGCTGCCAGCCAGCAGGGCCTGGCTCTGAGCACTGAAACACACTCTGAACAGGGAAATCCCAGGGCTTGGTTTATGCAGTCAAACAAGTTCAATAAGAACAAAGAGACCAGGCTCAGAAGTGGTGGTTTGAAGCTGCTCCCTGTTTGCCACCTTGCAGGGCTTGGGGCTGGGAGGAGGGTCTGCTCCTGTTGACTTCATGGATATGTTTCTGAAGTGCTGTGGGGAAGATTTCCCCCAGGATTTCCTTCCCTGTGGAAGCTCTGATTCTCCTTGGTTGTGCAAGCTGAGCTTTTTGCTTCATACTCCTTGGTTTTGGGGCTTTTCCCACTTGTTGTTTTCTGTTGGGCAATGTAACTGTTCCTTGGAAGAATGATTTTTGCATCTCTCTAATGCACAATTAAATATGAAATGTTCCCCCACGAGCATCTGGTGGGACTTTTATCTACAGACTAGACAGGAGGAGCTTGGTGCTGGTTTTGCTCAGGCATAGTGGGACTGGGACTCAGTGCACTGCCACTGGTCAGTGCTTCCAGTGGCATGAAACCAGGTCTGTGGATTTTGTTCTGGTTCCAGTGGGGCATGAGGGGTAGTTGGACACAAGCTGGCTGGGGTGCAGCTGTTTTTCCTGGTCCATGTGTGTCCTTTGTCCCACAGTTTCCTTCCCCCTCACACCCTGAAAGGTGTTTCCCACACACCTGGGGGAACAGCAAGGAGAGTTAGTGTTGGAGGGGAGATGCAGAGGAAGGAGGTGCCATGTGCCAGCAGGGAGCTCATCCAAAAGCCAGGGAGGGAGAAGGGAGGGACCAGGAAGCTCTAGGAGATATTGACAGCCCTGCTTGGCTTTCTGCCCTGACCAGTGGCTTCCCTGGGTTAAAACAGCCAAATAGATTTTTCCAAATCTCATTTATTTTGCCCTAGACATGGGCACGTTTTACCATCCCAAGTGTCTTCAGGAGCTCTGGGTACCCGTCTTTTCCTTTTTCCCCTCTCTCCTAGTGACTCTGCAGTGATCTGGTGCTGCCTCTCTCTGTTGGTTGCCAGCAGGAAAAAGATGACAGGATTAGCCTTCTGTTTTACCAGTTTGTTTTGTCTGACAACTCTGACCTTCTTCTAGTGAGGAGTCTCTAATTAAGGGCAGGAACTAACCTTCTGCTAAAAACCAGCCATGGATGGGTGTGAACTGGCACCAGACACACGCAGAGGGATGAAAGAAGGGCTATTTTGCTCTGCTCTTCCATTCCTGTCCTTTCTGTCCTGCTTTGACCCAAGATTTTGGCCAAGGGAGCTGGCAGCCAAAAGGAAAGTGAGAAGCTGAAGGAGCGAGTTGCCATGTGGCACAATGTGCCAAGAGAAGGTGACATTTACATGCAGTCCTATCACAGCTGTGATGTGCTGGTGGCTTCACCTGGCAGCTGCTCCGTGGAGATCTGACTCTGACTGGGTCAGAACACTGCATGGATTTGCACCTAATTTCTCCCAGCAGCCTGTGCAGAGTTAGCTGTGCTGACTTGCACTGTCCTGTTTGTTTTCTTTCCTGGAAAATGTGTGTAGGAGAAGATAATTTGCCAAGATCCTTCTTGGCCTGAATTCACTCTTACCTGTTGAGAAGACCCACACATTTTCTCATTGGCTGTGTTACCAGAGCCTCACCTCACTGCTACTCCCAGGAACAGCTACAGCTGCACAGTTGCCTGCTCAAGAGTATTAATTTTCAGGAGCATTAATTTAATAAGCATCAAGAAGTTCTCCTGTGGGAAGCTGCCAGGTGGCAGGGCTGCTCCAGGAGCCAGGCAGCCACACCTGCGTTCTCTCCATCACAGCTCAGTGCACATCTCCTGAGACCTGCCAGGACTGCACCACCCCAGGTAGGTGTGTGCCCTCCCTGGCAGCTCCAGACACCCTTCTAGTGAAAAACTCAACCAGGTATGTATTTGCATGGGCTTGTTGCTTGAAGTGGTGGAACACAACAAGTCCTGCAGACCAGACAATCAGATGGCAAAAAATTACAGAGCTGCCTGTTGACTGTGTGTGTGTGCGCGCGCGCTGGAACAGCCTTAAAATGCAACTGTCTGGAATGCAAGGAATTCCATTAAAATGCTATGAAGTGGCAGCAACACCAACCCTGCTGACAGAGCCAGGAAAGAATTACAACGGTAAGTTTCACCTTCTGGCTGGGAGGGCTTCATTTGCTGCCAGCTCCAGGCCAGAGAACATGCAAAGGTTTAGAAAACAAATCCAGATGTAGTAAAAGCAGCCAGCAAAATATTGAAGTGGAGCATCTGGAATCAAGTACTTGGGTTTGCAAATCTGTGCACTGCAGCAGTGTTGAAGAGAGTTTTAAAAGCAGTTTCAGACAAAATGAAGGTTAAAAGGCCCGTTGAACTGCAGGAGTGATGTGGAGTTTTCCAGGCAGTTGTTCTAATTAAGCTTGAACTAAATGGGCTGAATTTTTATCACCTTGTTTGTAAAATGAGTCTCGGTGTCAGTTGGTGTTGGAGCCATGGTCCCACCACACTAAGCATCCCACAGCTGCCTCAGCAGAGTGGAAGAGGTGAACACTTGTGTTTCTCGTGGTGGTTCAGAGCAGTTCTCTGGGGCTGGCGCTGCTGGGCTTCAGTGTTGGATCCCAAGCTCTCCCTTTGAGTTTGAAACAAACCTTTATTCACTCAAGAGTTTCCCTGAGCTGGCAAGGCCTGCCCTCTACTCCTCAAGTTTTGGCTGTTTGTAGCTGCTTTTGCCCATTGACATGAATGTTCTCAAGCAGCTCATTTCCAGCTCCTGAAAGAGATGGAATTTCTCCAGAGCCAAAATGTGACAAGTGGAGGTAACAGAGCTGAGGCTGTGCAGCCAGGATGCAGGTGGGCAGCCTGGCTCTAGGCAGGTGCACACAACTGTACAGAGCAGCAAAACCATCTCATGAAGGTTCCTGGGGTGCTGAGAGCCTGATGGCTGCTGGACAGTCAGCATCCCTATGGCTGGCACTGGAATGCAGTGGGATGGGGCACAGAGGCTGTCCAGCCTTACTGCTGGTTTCAAACTCTGCTGACAGGAATTGTGCTTTTATTTAATTACCGTCCCTCTGCTCCAGAAAAAGAAGTGTTACTGGATCACGAGCAAGAAAAGTTCCTTGGGTTTGATGAGTAAGTGGCTTCTGAGGTGTTCCATCTGCCCTGCCTGCTGCAAGGGTTAACAACACGGGGATAACTGAGCCTGACAGGCGATCCTGGAGACAGACTCCCCGACTGGAGACTGGAGTCACTGAGACCTCCAGGTGCAACCCAAGGCTGGTTGGTTGCCTCTCACGTTGGTGAAATGCCCTCTGTGGAGGCTTGGGTGTTTGCAGGGCTGCATCTCCCTCTAGAGGCAGACACTTGAGTGGGACCATCTTCTCCCACCGGTGTGTCCAGCAGGAGGAGGAAGGGCTGTGGTTTTTGTGATGGAGCTGAGAGTGCAGGCATCTGTTGTATTGAAATTGTCACATCTGCACCAGCAGCACCTTCCAAAGCCGCCTCTCCACATCCAGCAGGATGTCTAAGCCAGCCAGTTTTGCTGCAGGCATGACTGTGAGGGAAGCTGCACCTTCTTTCCACCCCTGCTGGGCAGATGAAGAGCCAGAAGCACCACGAGGGTGGCCACATGCTTGGTACAGCTCACAGGGCTCACACAAGGTTTGCCCTGATGCCAAAG